ACCTCAACTACTTCTTTCCAACTCGATGGCTGAATCAGTAACAAGATACAAATTGCATGGAAAGAAATTAGTCAGGTCCCTGGATGTGGAGGAGAGGTAGGTCAGGGTGGACTTGTACTTGATTGCATCCTTCCAGGTCACAGCTACCTGAGAAAACTCAAATGCTTGAATCAGTATCTCCTATTGGCTTGCCCCTACAGTCATTCTCCACAACAAAATATCTTGGTTTTATGAGTATCTCCCTTTCAAAAATATAGAAATAAAGCCCTTTTACAGTTTCCAGACATCATCCACCTGGTAACAAACAGGCCAGCTAATCCCAGCTGGGGTTTTTTCCACTTATGCCCATACCACTATTCTCCCTTCCTGTAGTTCATTATTATCCAGGGTCTCATTCATTTTTGCATTTCCAGGTGTGGGGGAGCCTGGAAAATCCTCTAAAGTCTGCAGTCGTCGTTTTATGACCAAATAGTTTTTAGGACGTACCACCTACATTCAATTCAGCAGCTCTACCTGATGAAGAGCTCCTAAAAGAGCTTCTCTGTTTTATCTCACACACCCAACCTTCTCTCCCCTCCAATATCAGAGGCAAAGAAGAACTGCTGGTAATTACTGAGCAAGGATTTCAAAGATGGATGTTCAGATAAACAATTTTGGTGGAAGGGTTCTTTAGTGATGCTCTCACCAGCATCTACGTCCCCTACTCCATTTCTCTGTTGTCTTTTTTTAAAGAAACTGGCCAACTAACAAAAAGCTATGCAAAACCTTCTCAATTCTATATAGAAAACTATTGGATTAGTAGATAATTTTTCCTTATTTACTTGCTCCCATAACACAAGAACTAGGGGTCATCAAATTAAATTAATAGGTAGCAGATTTAAAACAAACAAAAGGAAGTATTTCACCACACAATGCACAGTCAACCTATGTAACTCCTTATCAGACGATGTTAAGACAACCAGGATTTTAACAAGGTTAAAAAAAGAACTAGATAGCCATTGATGGACCTATCTTCCATGAATTTATTTTCCAGGATGGATAGGAATGGTGCCAGTAGTCTCTATGGCTACGTCTGCACAACAGGTTTTTTCCGGCAGAAAATATGCTAACGTGGGACTCACTAGCATGAGTTGTGACATCATTAGCTCATTTTCTGCCGTTTCTTTTTGCACAAGGGGTTTCTGAACAAAAAGAAGCCATGCAGACGTTTCCTTTTCACGCAAAAAGCCCATTTTGCGCAAGATCCTTATGGCTGTCCCGGAGAGATGAGGGAAGATCATTCCCTAGTTTAACAGAATTCTTACTGTTAGCATGCATTTTCTGATATCCAGACTCAAGTCACACAACTTTGCTCAATTTTATTCCATTTATTTCTGGTCACATTCAGTGGGATAGAGCAATTGCAATACTAGATCAGATCAACAGTTCACCTAGTTCAGTGGTTCTCAGACCTTTTGTCCCACAGCCCACCAAGCTCAATGCAAACCTTTCTGCAGACCACCAGTTGCTAATGGAAACTCGCTATTAATTACATAATTATGCCCGAGTCATTTTGCTAGTGCTGTAGCTAGAGAGAATGGATTAATTTAACCAGTAAGAAAGAAAATATAAATTTAAATTCTTAAACAGATTAAGCACTTTAACTTTCTCATGTCAGTTTATCAAACTTCATTTTAAATAATCTGTGTCCAACACAGAGGGTTTCCATGTTTTATTTATTTATGGCAGGGGTGGGGAACCTTTTTTGAGTTGGGGACCACTGACCCACAGAACAATCAGTTGGAGACCACATAAGTGAGAAGCAAAAAAAGCCTCTAAAAAATCCCTCAACCCTCACTGATGTGGCCCCCAACTGAAACACCTCACTCCTCTTACGCTCGAGCCCCACAGAGGGAGAGGGAGGGACAAGGAATAGTGAGGTTCAGGGCTTCTCATAGGCCAGGTTTACTCTTCTGGGGTCCCAGGGTTAGTGGATTTTGTAGACCCCCATGGCCTACAAAATGTGGGATTCAGTTTGTGGGACAAGTCTGCCAGCAAGTGGGATAGGAAAGAGAGTGAAGGATCTGAGTGGGAGATGGGGTTCAGGAGGAGGTGAGGGTGCCAAGTCTGGATGGGAGGTAGGCCAGACACTCTGCTCCTGCACCAAGGGGAGCAGACAAGAGCAAGGGGAGCTGCTGGAGCACTTGGGGAGGGAAGCGTTTAGCCAAGAGGGAGACTGCAGAAACAGGCTGGGGATAGAAAGTCTGTCCAGGGGGGAGATGCAGGAGCAGGGTAGGTGTCTGGCCAAGGTACAAGAGTAAGTGAGGGTGCAGTAGAAGGCAGAGGATAGAGTGTCCAGGTACAGGTGAGGGTGCAGGAGCAGGGTAGGGATAGTGCGGGCTCCTTGCTGAGGAGAGTGGGAGGGGGAGGATTGAGCCACAGTTTGAGAACCACTGACCTAGTTTAATAATATAGTATCCTATCTCCAACATGCCCAACAAGAGATACTTCAATGTTGATTACAAGAACCCTGAAGTTTGCAATTATGGAGCATCCAACGCATAAGGAAAGTCCTCTATCACTTCCTTTAGGATCTGATTCATGCCCCCAAATGATTAGCAGTTTCTACCCCTTCCAAGCTTTAAAAAAAAAGCCACTTTATTACTGTAGCTCTGGATGTTCTCCGTTTCCATGTAGATACACAATCCTGCTAATTTTTCAGACTCAGTGGTATTTTATGGCAAGCAGTTCCACTGTTAATAGTGCACTGCACTATTTTTCCTTTTATCAGTTTTCAACTTGCTGGCTTTCAATGTTACTCGGTGCTCTATCGTTCTTGCTTTGTAAGAATGTAGGAAAGAAGGGCCCAGTCTACTTTCTCTGTAGCATTATTTTGTATGACAGCTTATTATATTCTCTGTTATTCATCTCTTCTAAGGTAAACAGTCCCAGTCTTTTTAATCTCATCATATGTAAGGGGTTTTTTTTTTTGCTGCTGATCAGTTTTCCCTCTGAACCTCTGCTGTTTCTGCCATATTTTTGCAACAGGATGACAACAACTGTACACAAGCTGAAGGAAAATGTGCTATTGATTATGCAAAATGTGCCAAAAGTTTTTTTTTTTTTAAAAAACATAATGACCTAGGTTTCTAACAAAGAAAAATGCAAACACAAACTGAAATGTAAAAA